GAGGAATGTGGCTTTGTCTGTCACCGTGGTATTCCTGGTCTCATGAGTTTTGAACACTGTGGAGCTGGACAAAATTATCACCATGACAACCTGAGATTAGCTCCTCATTTTGTTCCAGTTGCAGGCTAATGGCTTTTGCATTCTCTCTCAGTTTGTCCTGCCTACGTGGACTCTCTCTCTTGCTGTCACAATTTGCTGCCATTCCTTGACTACTTTGTGCAGCATGGCCTAGGTGGGAACAGCCCCAGAGGACATGTGGCTGTCCAAGTGGGAAAGCCTAAACTGTTGCAGTGACAAATCAAGTTTAAAATCTCAGAGGCTTAGCACAGGGATATTTCCTGCTAGCATACGTCATAGGCCAGTTTGGTCAGCAGAGTGGAGGTGGAGCCTGGCTTTGCACGGTCATTCAGAGATCCAGGCCCCTCCCATCTTGAAACACTGCCACTCTCAACATGTGGCCTCCACATGTGACTTCCTAGGGTGTTGAGAGAAAGAAGACCAAGACAACAGACACCTGTGAAGGATGTTTTAGAGACGAGTTCATCGCTTCTCCTCACTCTGGGACGTGATAAGTCACATCAGACACAGGAGCACACAGTCTTGAGCACCCTTGCCGGCTATGTCCAGCTATTCTGTCACCAAGCTCTGGTATTCATGCATCCAAATTGTCCTATGCAGGGTTCCTTTCCATCTCAGCCACCATCACACCAAATCTAGCCCCTCTGGACCACTCCTGTGTGTGTCCTGTCCTGACAGTTCTCCATATTTGCTTTTCTGCTCTTCAGATGTGCTATCTCCCCTACCACCAAATCACATCATGTGGATCATTATCTGAACCCCTTTTGGGAGAAGGGTTTCCCTGCAGTTTCCCAGAGACATATGCCCACATCCTAGACTTCAAAACCTGTGAAGATATGATCTTACATATCAAAAGGGACTTTGTTTGTAAATTAAGTTAATGATCCTGAGAAGGGAGATTATCCTGGGTGATTTGGGTGGACACTGCAAAATCATGATAGCCATTATAGGTGACAGAACACAGGAGAGTCCAAGAGGTGAAATTTGTAGATGCTAAGCAGCTGGTTTTGAAGGTGGGTGATGGGTCCATGAGCCAAGGGATAAGGGTAGCCTCTTGAAAGGCAAGGAAAACCATTCTTCCCTAGAATCTCTGGCCTAAAATCATGATGCTTCGATTTTAGTCCAGTGAGACCCATTTCAAATTTTTGTCCACTGAAATGTAAGATAAAAATTTGTGAAGACACCAAGTTTGCTCAAAAAGTTCCAGCAGCAATAGGGAACAAATATATCATTCAGCATGGCATCCCAAACTGCCGGCATGATCTGGGCTGGGAGTGCTGGGAGGCAGAGATGGGCCCTTTCTCTTTGTTCCTGTGTTGCTCTGCAGTGTCTGACTCATTCTTCTTGACTTCATATTTGAATACAGGAGTGAATAAGGGGGAAGGAAGGAGGAAAGGGAGGAGAAAAGAGGTTAAAAGGAGAAGCTGGTGGAGAAGGAAGGAGGAGGAAGAGGAAGAGAAGGAGGTGGGAGGAAAGGCCTGTTCAAGTCTTGGAGTCCCAACAAAACCAAGTTGTGCTGGGCCTGGAGGGTGCATGGACAGAGATGTCAAAGCCAAGGTAGTCTGTGTGATGGGCAGGGACGAAATTACTGGCCTAGCTAGAAAAGCCCAGGGCCCTCTCAAGAGCCCACCTTCTGTCTGCCTAAGCTGCAGTGCTGACTGGGTCGAGGAGATTGTTCCTTAAGCCTAGACATTGGGATGTGGGCAGTGGGGTCATGGGACCTACACCTTGATCCTCACTTGCTGGAAGCTACAGGGATTGCCCCCAGGACTCTGGTGGGGATCCAGGCTGAGGCCAGAAGGAGGCGCCAGGAGGACTTTAAGAGTAATGGCAGGAGATCCTTAGTGTTCTCAGGCCACAGGCGGAGGGGAGCGAGGAATTGGAAGGCAACCCTATCTGCCCTGGCTGACCCTGCGGCAGCTGCGAGTTGCAGAGGATTCACTCTTCCAGAGTTGAGCTCTGGTCACCCAAAGCAGGGGATAGGCAGAGCCCACCATCCTTGCTGTGCACAGCAGGAATGGGACACATGGCCGAGGAGACCAGCACACAAGTCCCAGGCCTCTAGTGCAGCTTCTGTGGGGAGACCCCGCAGTTTCCCTTTGGTCTGCTTTCTAATGTAAACTTCACAGCTTACTTTTCTTCACCCCCAGAGCCCTGATGCCCAGCTAGTGCCTAGTAATGGGAGGTGCTCTGTATGCTACTGTTGAGAGAACGCACCCCATGGCCTGCTGACCCCCAGCCCTGGCGCTCCCCATATCCTCCTGACTCTGCATTCCCCCACCCCTGCTGTCATACTCTAAGGTGGCCCTCTGACCTCAGCAACGTCAGCTGATGTTCTGCATTATGGGGACATCTGTCGGCTGGGGCTCCTAGGGCCTGGGCCAGACACAGCCACACTCCACAGCCAGTCTACAGTCACCATGGGCCATGGCAGCCAAAGATGTGCTGCTGGGTCTCCTGCAAGGACAAGATGTCACAGCCAGCTGGGCATGCAAGTGAGAGGTCCTGCTGCATCGGGTAGATGGGGGTCATCTGCTGTGGCCATTGCTGGGACCTGGGCCAGACCCTTCATCTGGCCCTCAGTGTCCTTGCTTTTTGCTCTACTTGGCGGTGCTCACAGTTCCCAAACTCTGTTCATAAGCAGGATGACACTGGCTATTGTCACTGCACGCACAGTCGACATTCTGAGAATTGGAATGTTCTGTATCCAGAAACTGCAGATACTCTCTGGTCTGCACAGCACCCAGAAGTCATAGACCTTGACAGAGAGAGCATGGCCTCGTGAGACCTGCACCAGGCCCCCTCTCTCCTGCCGTCTTCCAGGTGTCCTCTGGGGCTTGTCAACGGCCAGCTGTCAAGCTTTCATGTCACCTTGCAGGTCTCTGCCTCCTCTACCCACGTGGGAGGCCTTTCTCAAGGGAGCAATTCCTAGGGACGCCTAATTAAAATAATGACATTAATGCTCATGACAGCAGGGGACACACACGGAGTGCTCCTTGTGCTGTTCTGCGAACTTCCTTTGTATGCGCTAATTCATCTCCTCAGCAGGCTGCAAGATGGGCTGCCATGGTCACTCGCTTCCCTGTGTGACACTGAGACCCTCTCTAAAACTTATTTTTATAGATCTCTCTGAGGCTTTGGATCTGACTTCTGGAACTCCATGTCTAACACTCCTCTCCTGCGTCCTCTCTAATTGCATCGTTGCCGCAATCTCTCAATGTCATTTCTATGTATTTTTTTGGGGTGGGTTCCCAGGTGCCCCCACTGTCTTCTCACTTTGTGCCTGGTCCCTGGGTGAACCCTCCCCCCACTACTTTGTGGTATAATGAAAGTGAGGGCTGGCATGGTAGGGTGCATGAAGACAGGTGTTCTAGGCACCCGTGTTAGGGAGCCATGCCAAGTAGTTGGGGTGCTAAGACTATGAAGAGCATTAAGTATATGGGCCATCATTTTGAAAAGATGGATCTTAGGTGGGTGAGCTTGAGGGAGGAGCCCTCGGGGGGAGGGGGGGCTGGAACAATTGTCCCAGTGAAGGAGAATGGGTTCCCCAAGTGTCTGGAAGGAAACCAGCAGGGCTGGATATTGAGTGTGGCGGAGAAGGACATAGAGCAAAGGTGGCCCAGGCTTCTAGCTAGGCTGCAGCTGGTGCTGCACTTGAATTGTCTCGGGCCCCTCAGGGCAGGGTTGTCTAGAGGTAACTAGCTGGGCATGCACTCAGCCCTGAAGAATAGCTAGGGACTGGCGACCGCGGCCTCAGATGGCTTTGCTACCCCATCTGTGCTGGTCTAGGGCAGGGCAGCCACCTGCATCCCTCAGTGAGGCAGGCAGGATCCAGTGCAGGCTGAAGCTGTTCTTGGACTTGACAGCAAGGCAGTCGCTGTTGACCTTGGTGAGGATCAGTTCCATGTAGACGAAAGACAGATATGGATGAGCCAGGGGCTGGAGGCAGCCAGGAAGAGCGTACTACAGCAGACAGAGGCATCAGGGTGTCCCTGAGCCCCTGGATTTGAATATTTGCTCATCAAGCTTGAGATCTTCCTGTTCCTCACAGCTCAGGCCCAGTGAGTAAGCAAGTTCTAATGATTCCCAGAGCCTCTCAGCGAATTTTCCTTCGACCCTCTCAGCTGGATCCCTGTGACACTGGGCTGGCCTCCTGCCGCCCCATCTCTTGCTCTCTGAGCCCTTTCACAGTGCCAGCCGTGGTAGCACAGGCTTCCCTGAAGAGTCTCCTCTCTCCTTTTCTGATGGATGGTGCCCCCCTCCTGGTCCCTGGGTGAGCCCTCCCCCCACTACCTTGTGGTAGAATGAAAGTGAGGGCTGGCATGGTAGGGTGCTTGAAGACAGGTGCTCTGGGCACCCGTGTTAGGGTGCCATGCCAAGTAGCTGGGGTGCTAAGAATGTGAAGAACATCAGGTGTATGGGCTATCATTATGAAAAGGGTGGTGCCAACTTCTGGCTCCAAGCAGCAGCCAACCAGTCCCAGCCCTATTCCTGTCCATGGAGGGGAGAAGCCAGCTGAGGAGGTAGATCTGAGGCTAGACTAAGTGAAGGGGATGGAGGCCACTGGACAAGATGGAAGAGGAGGGAGAGCTGAGGCATGGTGGCAAGAGGGAAGCTCAGCATCTCACTCAGGGATCTTGCCTGGCCAGCATTTCCCCTCCGCACAGTCCCACTGCAGCCACTGGAAAGCCAGATGAGGTCCCCTTCCTCACCCAGGCTACCTGCACTGGCTTGTGCCTCTCCTTCTCTTCGAGGGACCTGCCAAGGCTGTGCCTGCCTCTGACAGAAAGCCTTGCCTTTCCTCTTCTTAAAACACTCTGGGCTCTGCGAGGGCCTGGCATGGATGGTGTGCCATGTATGTCATGGTGTGTAGTATTTGCTTGTGACAGGCCCCACGCTCACCAGGGTTCTCTTGCTCACAGGATGCCCCGGCATGTGGGACAACATCACGTGTTGGAAGCCAGCTCGTGTGGGTGAGGTTGTTGAGGTCAGCTGCCCCGAACTCTTCCAGATCTTCAACCCAGACCAAGGTGGGTAGAGCCCAGAATCTCTTCAGGCCATGCTGGTCTAACCTGTTGCCCTCCCAGGAGCTAGGGACCAAGGATTGGGCTGTCCTGGGGGTGGGCAGCTAGTCCCTTCTTCAGCACTGCCTTGCTGGTAGGGAGGCCGACACCACCAACTTTACTGCATAGTTAGGAAGTTCCTCTGACCTGAGACCCAGTGTGCTGGCATCGAGACCGGAAGCAGGCTGGGCTCTCTGGCATGGTGCTGAACCAAGCTCTACCACTCACCCTCCTGGGGCCCTGCTCTGAGGAAGTCCTCCTACTTGAGTCCCTGGTCTGCTGGATGGAAGTGTGGCAGGTCTGTGAGGATCAAATGAAGTCTCATGCATGGATGTCATGACTTCAGAACTTTGTGTGCTCTACGTGCTCAGGAGTGCTCATCAGCTGACATTATCAGCACTGTCACTTGCATGGCCACGTTGCTTCTCAGAGGCCCAAGGAGCACATGGATGGGGCATGGAATCAGACACCCTCATGCAGGATGGGAATGTGAGGAGGGCAGCACCGCTCACTCGTGTCTGTGCCTACGAACCCCGTGCTGTGGACACAGGATCTCTCCAGGCTGTGCAGCAGCCAGCACGTCTGTTTACTGAGTAAACTGTAAGGGTGTAGGAGAGAAGGAGCTAGGGATGGCCAGATGCGTGGGGTGTTAGGAGCAAGTGAAGTGCTGTGAAGAGGTCTGGGGACCCCAAGTTAGCTAGGAGCCAGTGGGGCAGGCAGTGTGGCTGAGCTCTGTGATACAGGAAGTGAGGATGTAGGCCCAGCTAGCAAAGCGACGCTGGGCCGAAAGGCATGAAGCCTTTACGGTCCCATCTCTGCTGGGGGCAGAGCCCTGTCCTGGCCAAAAAGCAGAGGCAAACTGGCTTTCAGACCAGGGCCTCCAACAACTTTGCCACCACCCTGGAGGGAAAGGGGCTTAGAGGAGACGGCATGGAGAGACAGTGGCATGGTTATGGTCCCAGGCTCCTGGTTGTGGGTCCAGTCCCAAGACCAGAGAAGGCAGATGAACCACGTACCACACCTTCCTCCCACTGCCAGGCCTCCTGGCAGCATGGAAGGAGGGCCGCGGCCGAGCGTTCCCATCCTGAGGGCCTGGAGCCTGGTAATGACCCAGAGCAGGCTGGAGGGGATTTCAGAAGAGGAGCCTCGGAGTACTACAGTGAGAGCTACAGTCAGTGGGGCCAGTCAGGCGCAGCTGGCAGCCCGTGATTCAGCTCGATTCCTCATTCCTTCCTTTAGAAACCAACTTAATCACTTCCTCCGTGAGTGTAGTGCTTTCATTCAGTCATTTATTTAGAGTTTGTTGAACATCTACTCTAGGTCAGATTCCACACAAAGACAGTTTCTTCCAACAACAGCAGCTGCAAGGGCAACGTGAATCCACAGTGCAGGAGATTTCCTTACACTCCACCTTGCTGCAGCCTCCTGCTGCACCGTGAAGGTGCTGATTGCACCTGGTTCTTAATGGCTCATGAGGGCCGGACTCTTAGCACCTCTGTTCCCAAGGCTTGATAGGTGAGACCGTGGCATTTCTCACTTTCCTGTTTGCTTCCCAGGAAATGGGGTGGCTGTGGTGGCTGCGCAGGGTGCTGGCACCTGGAGGCGATGACCTCTCTCCTGGCAGAGGCCTCTGAGCATCTCTGTTCTGGAGGCGGTGGGCCCTGTGTGCAGTGCTTGGGGAGGGGAGGAGGAGGGAGTGGCCAGCGAGAGCAGACCCTGACTTCACCCTCTGCTCACCTCTGCATTTCTCTCTTTTTCTGCTGCAGTCTGGGAGACTGAAAACACCGGTAAGAGGAACCTTGGTGCGGACAGACTGCTGTCCTTCTGTCTATCCCAGAGGAGCCCAGCTTCAGGAGATCCTGACTCTGGCTCCTGGGATCAGGATGGGGTGCAGGTGCAGCGGCAGGCGTCTCTCCTATCCCTCGATCTTCCTGGAAGTGGGGGCACAGGAAGCTGGAGAACACAGCCCTTGAGTTTAGAAGGATGAAGCTCAGCAATTGAGGGGCCAGAGGGGGGACCAAAGGAGTCCTCCAGGCACAGTCATGGGCTTACGCATGGACCTCAGCCTGCGTGTGGTCTGCTGAGAAACTGCGATGCACAGTGAGCAGTTGGGCAGACGGGACCATACGTGCATCAGGCAGCTGAGCATTGAAGGGTCAAGGAGGCTCCCCAGAGGTGGCATATCTACCTGGGGACAAGAATTTAAAAAATGGGGTTTATTGCTAGGTTGTCATGAAATTTTGGCGTAAGAGAAAAGTGGAAATGAGAAAGATCAGGGAAGGAGAGAAATCTCAGGATGAGGCATCTGGAGATGTGGGTTCCCTTTGGAAGAGCAGGTCAGGTGAGTGTGCTGGACAGCGGCACTCCAGGGAAGAGGCCCCAGCTCCACGTACCCGTTGCTGTTCCTTGCCCTTTCCCACACTCACCCATCCCTCCGGGAGCCTGCTAGGTGCTCCCTCAGGTCAGGTGGGGACTGAGTCACAGGCCATTCTGTGACCCTTACAATCAGCATGGCCTTAGAAGGTGCAGTGTGTCAGAAGCGTATGGAGTTGTTGTGTGGCCTGTTGATGCCACCCCAGCCCTCGGGGCACAGAGCAGCCTCAGCCTTGGTGGGAAACAGTGAGTGACATGGCAGATGGATGGCTAGGGTTTCGACCCCTGTCTGAGCCTGTGTTTTGCAGGAAATCTTGGTTTTCCTGACAGTAACTCCTTGACTCTCTCAGGGAAAGGCTGGTCAGAGTTGCATGTGCTGTGCATGGTACTTTGGGGGCCTCCAGCTGGCTGAGCTCAGCTTTTTGTGGGTGTGTGATCTTTGGGTGGGCATTTCTCTGACGTAGTTATTGTTTGTCTCATGGAAAATTGCACTTAAGGATACAAGTAGGACCTGGTACATACAGTTTCTGGGGAGTCACATATCTGTAGAAACCCCTTCACAGATTGCAAGTAAAGATCCCCAGATTAGATGATTCTAGTGAGTATTGATCTCAGTCACATAGAACAAAGGTTCTCAGACTTTAACTGTACATCACAATTATACCCTGGGTTTGCTGAGATACAGATTCTGGGGCCTCACTCCCAGTGCTTCTGATTTATAGGCTGATGACAGGGCCTGAGCCTGTGAATTGCTAGCTGACTTCCTAGGTAGTGCAAGAGCCTCATCTGGGAACCACAGCCCTAAAATTATGTGCTCCTGAGAAGCTGCTGGGGCAAACGAGCCTGAGGAAGTAGGCTTTGTCACTGCAGGGTTTGTCAGTCTGGAGGGTGCTCCATCTCCCAGAGACTTTAACAATAAACAGTTTGGGAACAAAAGCGTTTATGCTCTTCTGAGCCTACACGGCATCATCAAGAGGAAGAAAATAAAAGAAAGGAAATATTTTTGTTTTTCCTTCAGGACATTTTTTCAAAAACTTCTTTTCAAAGCAGCTTCCCTTTCCTTTTCCCACCACCCACAAGTGAGCAAAGGAGAGAGGAAATGAGACTGGGGTGGGCATGGGACTTGGCCAGGTTGCGACGCCACTGGGACTTTTGGACTTTCTGAAGAGTCTTCAGAGGAACTTGGAAGGAGGTCTCCATGGCAGCCCAGGAGAGATTTTCTGGAGAACAGCTGGCTTAGTATGGAGCTACAGTACACAGTTGAACTCTTCTGTGGTCCCAGGGCTGGCTGGGGTTCCTCAGCCTGAGCCGCAGCACTGGGCACTGGAGAAGTGGCTGGGGCCAGTCTCCTGAGTTGGGCAGAACTCTCCTTTTGGGCAGGGTCCCCCTCTTCCTCTTCCTCAGACCATAGAAAATGCATACCTGGAGAGACTGACAGAAGTCTTCCAGCACAGCTCGCGAGGGTGCTGCTTGGACAAGCAGGGGCTTCCCCTTCCTGGCTCCTGCCTCCTGCTCTGCATCTCCTCCACCCACTGTCCTCTTTGCCTCCTTCCTCATCTCCTCAGAGGCAGCCCTGGCTACAGAGGGGATGAATTTGTTCCTCAGTGTGCCCCAGTGTGCCCCTTTTCTGTTGATCTTTCTTTCTTTCTTTCTTTCTTTCTTTCTTTCTTTCTTTCTTTCTTTCTTTCTTTCTTTCTTTCTTTC